TTTTCTCTCTCTCTCTCTGTTACGCAGAAAATTGTATGAATCGACTGTGGAGCTTCCCCGCTGCTGCCGATGTCTACACGCGGAAACGTCCGCTACTTATGACAGTATTTATTATCCTCCACAGACTGTGAGACAGCCCATCCGCAACGCCGGGGCTTGGCGCGGAGTGTCCGAGGCCTCTTCTCGCGAAGTCCTCGCCGTGTTCTGAGCGCGCGCCAATCAATCCATCAAACCACGGGGGCCGTTCGCAGCATTTTAAAAAAAAATCTGAGATGGAAGACACATTTAAAATAGGATCATTTAAAAAAAACATGTAATTTGAAGCCGTGTAGTAAAATACATCTTACATTTTGACTGATAATATTTCGTAAGTGTGATTTCGCAGGCTATCAATCATCTAAGCGTCGATGTAAATGTGGGCATATTTTAACCGACATTTCTTCGTGTAAAAAGCTGATTTTGCTGCATGTACGTTGAACTTTCTTCGCACCGTACGTAGTCAACCGTGCTAATCTGAGGTGCCGGGGGAACGACAAAACGATGTTTACACGAGGGTAACTTTAATTACGCAAAGCAACGCGCGTTATCTGTTACGCGTTAGATACTATCGGTGTGTAAAACGGACGTGATGGTGGTGGTGGTGGTGTGAGTCACACGTTACAATAAATACCACCGCCGTCCAACTAGAACTCTCGCAAAAAAACAAAACACAGTCACGCACGCGCCATTCATACCACCCGCAGCAATCAGATCATCATCATGACCATCACCGCCCGCGCAATCACATAAACGCGCATCATTATTTGTATCTGTAAACGACGAAAAACCCCCAATTTGTGTTTTTGTTTTGTTTTAAAGAACGCGAGACGGCGGGGGCAACGGCAGAGCCTCAGTCGCCGTTCTCAACGCTCAAGCGCCGCGTGCGGAATTCTCCAAAAGAATTTGGACGCGGGGTGTTCATCCCGCCGTACCCCCCGACCGGTCCACAGCATCCATTACCTCGTGGCCCTTCGGTCTCCGCTCGGCTGCCACGCAGACGCATCGAAGCTCTCCGCGGCCGTGGGGCCTCCCCGCCCGCCCGCCCGCCCGCCCCCCCTCCCCACTCCAACTCTTTCACAAAAGCCGATGTCTTAGGTGGGTGGATATAAATGTTAGGCACACATTTAGCTATTAACAAACAAACCAAACAAAACCACCTCCGCACCCCCGCCCGCCCCGTACACAAAGCGGACCACGCAAACCTCCTTCTTGCCGTTGGAGAATCGCCTGTGCCCCTTGAGCCGATCGCTGCTGCGCTGCGTCGGCACGCCGGGAGCGCCGTGTCGGGCAAAAGGACCCAGGAGCGAGCGACGCTGGGGGGTTTGGACGGGACACGCACGCACGCGTGTGTGTGCGCGTGTATGTGTGTGTATGTGTGCGTGTGTATGTGTGTGTATGTGTGTGTATGTGTGCGTGTTCACTGTGGAGATGTTTAGGAGGCCCCCCTTTTTTTTTTACCCGCGCATTAATCACAGCTATCATAAACCTGTCCAATTGTGTCGAGAAGCGAGGTGCCGTCTTCTTACGGCATAAACCACCACCACCACCTTCTTCTTCTCGGCTGCAACAGCGGAGAGAGAGAGAATCGGAGAGAGAGAGAGAGACGGACACTCGCCGCCTTGGACTTTTCCAAAAGGGTGCGATAGTAGTTTGGAAACGCGTGCGTCAACAAACACTGCCCTAAAAAATAATAATAAGAGTAAGACGCGACGTTTCGAGCAATGCCCCGATTCTTCACAGCAGAGAGATGATCTCGCTGACGGTCTTGACAAACGTGTCAAGCTTGTTATTTGTTTGTCGCTGTTACTTGCGCTGCCAACGCAGTAGCAGCAGCATCGCAAAATAATTGATACTTTTATTTTTTGTCAAATGAGTTCATTGGGTAGAAGCAAGCGTGGTCGGTGATGCCGACCACGTGCGCGAAAACATTCACACACGGGCACGCGCACACGCGCACACGCGCGCGCATTCCCCATCGCGACAACGGAGAGACAGGGGGAGGATCGTTGGCTGTGCGCTGCAGCGGCACGCCGCCGTTGCCGTTCAGCTTGCCCGGGAGATGGTTGTTGAGTAGCGCAGTTCGCTCGCTTGGCTTGGCTTGCTCGCACAGATGGGGGGTCGGGGGAGCGGGAGGTTCGATTCCGACTCAACGGGATGCGGCCTCCGCTCAAATGAACAGAGCATCCGCCCCCCCCCGCACCCCCTTCTTACCCAACCGTGTAGCCTACACACGCTGATGGGGCAAGTGCTGTTAGCGAGCACCTATTAAGGTTCGGCGCGGCGCACGTGGTGTAGCCCAGCACCACGCCCGGCCGCCTTTGTCTCCCCACAGTGCTGACGTGTGTTGTTTTTTGCATACGGCAATAGGTACTGATTTAAGGCCGAGTCGAGCTAGCGGAGGTCCGTACTCGGTTCAGATATTCGTCGTGGGAATCGAAACTCGGGTTTCTATCGGAGTGCGCTAACCACCGCACCACCACTCTTCGCTCAACATACACACACGCACGGAACGCACCTTAGCTAAACACACATCCGCACTCTGCTTTAAAGAGAGTTAGCCGTTACAAAACAGTCAGTTGTTACTGCGCTTCTTTAAATTCATTATTTAATGATTAATTAAAGACATACAGTGTTGTGTATTTAAATCGCTATGGTGAGTCTGCAAATGCATTGCGGGGTAGTCGCGTGAGGGTCACGATCGTAAGTGATTCATCTTGTGCAGTAGGTATATATGTTCGTAATTTTTTTTTTACATCTCAACGAAAGTGTTCATTTGTTCACAAATAAAATAATTAAGCTTGTGCATCAACAACATAGTTGACGTTAAAATGACACACAATTGTCAACTGACGCGCTCACGCGGACACTTCGTGTGGTCTCCCCCCCCTCCGTCTTTGTATCCCCTTTGTGATAATAATCAGCAACACTCCCAATTGTCCAGCCTCTGAGCAGACCCAGTGGCCCTGATGCATCCCGTTACGGCACTGCCGTTGTGTTAATCCACTGCTGGATGAGGGCGTCCCCACGTCGCATCGGTGGCCATGGGGGTGGGTTGACCATACTTCACCTTTTGCGGAGCGCAGGCCTTTGCATGACCTTCAGCCTCACTGATCACGGATCGTAATAATGATGCGCTCGCGTCATGGCGGGTGTCATCATACTTGCATTGCAATTAATGAACTATTGTTGTTGTTGTTATTGTTGTTGTTGTTATTCACTCAATGGTTGGAGTATCGATTAAAGCACCGTGTTATGAACCCAGCTTCCTCACATCGAGTCTTCCCCTCATTTCATCCACTCGTACTGATGGCTAAAAATCCCGTAACCGACACGGTGTGGGGAGGGCCTTCACCCAGCAGTGGACTCAGACAGGCTTGTAAGTGATGTTTTATAGTTATTGTAATTAACAGTGGCATGTACATACATCTCAACTAATGGAAACCCGCATTTTATCCGTAGCTGTCCACCTTATAAAGTTGGTGTTGCGTGTATAATGTTATTTTAATTGAATGCCGTGTTTTTTCTTGCTCACGATATATCATTTTACATTGATTTTGAACTGTTGGAGATTGTTTTAAATGCATGTTTATATAATTGATGCCTCCTCTGGCCTTGCTTAGACATGTGAAATGTAAGTGACTGTCCATGCACGGCCCTTTTATCGAAAACATCCACTGCTCCCCCCATGCCGTTTGAGTTAATAGGGGAGAGTTTAACCATACTTCACCAAGCTGGTGCAGTGCAGGTTGGTAAAGGCGGGGAGGGCGGGGACACCCATAGTCGAAGTCGTGATACTGTAATAACAACCTCTACTCTAGAAAGCTCCTTTCATATTGAAGCATCTCAAAGGGCTGCAAACACAAATAGAACTGCACTCACCCAGTGAGAGCTAACATCTACGCGAAATAGAAAGCTGATAATAACAATATCGACGGCTAAACTGGACATCCCAATAAAATGAAGAACTATGATTTAAATAAAAGGGATACTGACGAGATAAAAAAAAAATCACAAAAAAATAATTTAACCTACGTGACTTTACCGAAAAAAAACAACCTAAGAATATGAATCCTTGCAGTCACGAAAGCTTCAAATCTAGAAATTAATACTGACGAAATTTTGGGTACATGCTTCCCGATTCTGCGCACCACATTATCCCCGAAGGTTCATAGCGCCTGGTTATGCACGGTTCGTCAGGTCACCCCAGGCAAGTTGTTATCCTAACTAAAAACCCTGCGGACAAAGTCTTTGCTGTTGCCAACAGCACCACCAACTTTGTAAAATTTCCCTAAAAACATATCCTGAAGCAGACGATTAGCGCTGGATGCATACAACCGCAATTTGTAACTTTCATCCTTATCCACCATGTTATCGACGGTTACATTTTAATGTGCAATTGTATTGAGGGACTGTGATGTCGTTGTCTTGGTGTGGTCTGGGACTGTTACTCTTTGGTTCTTTCGGTAAAGTCACGTAGGTATAAAATAAAATTAATTAAATCACCATTATTTTATACCTACGTGACTTTACCGAAAGAACCAATGGATCCCTGCAGTCACGAAATCTTCAGGTCTGAGACTGTTCTTGCCGTTGCTCCGTTGCCTTGCCCAAGCTTGTGTATTGGTGCACTTATGCAATTTGAACTCGTAAAACTTTATTTTTTTGTTAGTAATTTGTTTACCTCTCCTATATGTTGCACTCCTTTCGTGTTGTTTGTTTGTATCGTTCGTCGTCGAAACTTTCTGACCCCCCCCCCCGCCCCTACTGGACATCTTTGGAAAAAAAGCTTCGTGGCCCACGCGATTCATTCAGGACAAATAAAGTTTCTAATTCTGATAGCGTCCGAGATGTGACAGAGATAAGGGGCGCAATTCCGGGTGCTTTGGTCACATGCTCTTACCTCGGTTGTGAGCGTCTTCCACTGATCGACAGCGTCATAAATGAGCACATTGGATGGGCCATTCATAGAACAAAATACGTTTATTAAATCAAGTTCAATTTACATTGCTGTACACGTCCAAAGTTTGCTGTAAGACGGACAAATGTAGTAAAGGTGTTATCTCGGGAGACCTATAGAAAACTGGAAATGTGAGTATGCACATGTGCAAGTTGAGTCTTCTTTATAAAAACGACGATTACAAAGAAAAGAGATGTTCTCCAAAACGATCGTTTCACTGCACGGGGTAGGGGGGTGGTAGTGGGGGGGGGTAGTGGTGGGGGGTAGTGGTGGGGGATAGGGGGGGGTCCTGGTTGCTGCAAGGGGGGGGGGGAGTTAAGAGGAGATCTTGAATTCCACATTGGCCACGTTTCTTTGTCTCTGCAGAGACCCACGGGAGGGAGGGAGGGAGGCACGCGCACTGTGTTACACAGACACCAACAAAATATATAATAATCATCGCCAGCCAAGCCTATGATGCGGCAAACACATCGCACATGATAGAGGGGGAGGGGTACACGTGGCGATACCTGTGGTAGCGCAACAAGACGACGTTGTCAGAACATCAACACCGGTGGCGGTTGCCCGCCGAGTGTGCAGGCGGTGTAACTGCCACCAGGGCCCGCCAGGTGCCCTGGGGCTACGGAGAGGCGTGGCGGACATTTTTAACAGGGTGGGGACGAGAGGATCGAATTTCATTCCTTGCAGCAGGGACCCATGTCCACCGCACTCCACCACCACCCTACAGCGCACGCATGGGAGGCGAGTACACCCCGTAGCTTTAGACCCATGGCCCAATTTCAGCCAGCTGTATGTCTGGGTCCGCAGGCCTGCGGCATATTTCACACGCCCGGCACACCACATCCAGTAACGCAGTCGACCTCTCGGCTCTGCTTACACCGCCGCACAAGTGGCGGGAGTGCGTATGCAGCATTTCGGATGCACCTGTCAATACGGTGGCGTGAACTCAAGGTGTGTGTGTGCGCGACACACTTGGTGGACGGACTAACACCGGGCGCTCGTTGGGAGCACGCGGCGACGCACGCAGATAAGTTTGGCAGGCAGTTTGGAGAACGCGTGAGGCCGGACGAGATATTAATTTCACCCATTGGTACCATCCGACACTGCAAAAAGCTAGTTGCGTGGTTGAAAAGGTCGACACGGTGACGGATTTACATTTGGACGCACAAGCATTTGGAATGGGCGTCACACATTAATTAACTTTTATCGGCCAATTCGAGAAATGTTATACGACGTCCGCAGCAATGAAGTCGACGAGCGTGCCCGAGCCAGAGAGGAGAGCTTGGGCAGGGGCTTTCATCCAGGAGTTGATGGACAATGGCTTACATTGTTGATGGATGACGCTTATGATGATGATAATAATTTTATGCACTTTTAAACCGGATTGAAAACTCATTTCTTTAGAACTGCTTTTTGTGTTTAGTTTGTCGTTCTTCCCCCGCACCTCCAATTAGCACAGGTTGGCTACGTATGGCGCAAACAAGTTCAACACACATACATACAATGAAAGTTGTGCCATCTTAGCTGGAACCAATGTCTTCCCTGGTCCGTGGACCAACACGGAGCCACAGGAAAATGCCTTCTTGCGATGAAGGGTGAACTTCATGGCAAGAAGTCACTTCCAGTCTCTTAGGGTACACCTTTTCAACGAGGCCCTCTCCTCTTCCTACGACCCTTGTTTTTGTACCTTGCCATCACTCATCGTAGAAATGTTTGCAAAAATAATTGCACGGTTTAATTTTTGCCAAAGTTCTCGTTCTAAAAAATATCGACGTATTGCAAATCTGTGAGGTCGTGATGTTTGCAGGAGCTTTTTGGCGACCGATGACTTTTCAAGGAACCTGCAGGTGCGACGCGCCAGGGGACCCTGGGTGGCCACAGGGATCGGAGTGTGGGGGGGGGGTGGGCAAAACTCAGGAACTTGAGGCCCCCAATTTGCATTTCTTGCACCAGGTGCCCCGACGCCAAATCGCCACCGCCGCGCAACGCCACAGCCCCCGGTGTCGTCTTTCTCCGAAAACGCGTTGTAAATTTAAAAACACAAAAAGGAAAACCCACCACACACACAAACGCAATTCACAGCAGGCTGGGAATTCGGTTGGAAGTGTCAACAAGTAGAACAACACCATCCCTCGGATACGTTGGTAGTGTGCAAAAGGATCAGATAGGTAGCAAGGCTAAGTGGGAGGTCTGAGCGGTAAAAAAAAAAATCTTTCACCGGCGACAGCAGACTCACTCCAATGCAGTTTTACATTTTGTACACGTCTTTTTTTGTTTCTTTAACTAAGAAATAATTTAACTAGACAACACATCCCTACGTAACTGTTTAAGAAGCATGCTATTAACAAAACAAAAAAAAACACTCTTCCATCTCTCTCTCTCTTCATTACTAAAGTGACATTAACTTGTATATTACAACAATTTCTCTCTCTCTCGGTTGTTATGGAGGGGGGTACGGGGCAATGTCACAGCAACACACATAGTGTGGAAACAAATATCTTTGTTTTCCTTTTAAAAAATCTGACGAGAAGATAATATGGACTACCGATCAGTAGGCTATACAACATCTCTTTATGACATTATACAGTAGTAAAACAATGTCCTTTTCCCCCCAAAAAACCCCTTAAAAGTCATTTCTGTAGATACACGTTTAAAAAAAAGAAAAGTTGCGGCGGTTTTTTGTGTTGTTATTATTCCGACGTGCAAGTAAGGAGGACTGAGTTGGTCCTTGGACGGTGCCCAAAGTTCCAGTTCCTCTGGTCGCCTCGTCGGCGAATCACATCGAAGAAGTCCACGCCCCTCCGAGTTCACCGTTACCGCTTAGAAAGACTCCACGCCGGCGCGACAGCGTGGCGCCACTGCAACAAATCCATCCAGACACGCCGAGGCTCCGAGCGCGAAGACTATGGCCAAGGTTCCCCCCGTGGTCGTTGTTGGTTTGAGGTTGGCTGGGAGAACGAGGAAGGTGGAGGATGATGAGACACACACCGCCCATCCCCCACCACCACCAACGTGGGCTGCAGCGAGAAGCAGAAACGAAACGAGACGGCGGTGGTACACCGCGTCCCGTCGACGACAGGTCCCGCATCGCGGAGGTGCCACCACCACCCACCCCCCCCCCCCTTCTCCTCGATCCGCGAGCCGTGGTTGGATGGGGTTGGGAAGAAGCCGGGCGCCTGCGAATTCTCCACGCCCGGTCCTTGAGAAAACCTTGAAGGATCTGCGAAATAATAACGTCCACATGTGTGACCTGGTGCGGGCGTGATTTACGAGCCACTCTCGCAAAGATTTATGCCGAAACTCCTTAATTAACAACCGCTGTCCCAAATTGTTTTCCTATAAGCGTCGCGAAAATGCGCAGCCGTCTAAAAACGGCCCCTGGCCGATGGACTCGCGATCAGCACGTCCTTACCGAGTTAACACTTTTGCAGATTCAGGTTTTTAATGTCTATTTTTTTTTGAGGGCCTACAAATTGCGATTTTCTGCACGGCTTAAGGAAAAAGTGATGAAAAATGAGCCAGGATGATGCAAGGCTCTCCACATCGTATACTTTTGGTATAAACGCGGCCAAGGGGAAAAAAAACGCGATCGGCACGTTAATAAGACACAGGGCCAGACGAGATCCTCCCTTCGAGCTGAAATCGCCCATCGGAGCTCACATTTAACTTGGGAACACAGCTCAGCAGAGCCTCCGCAAACTCCAAAGCTAAACCAGTACCTTGAAATATTCACAATCTATTGAGTCTTCGCATAGCCCAGAAGGGAATGTGTTGCAACGCAAAGGGTAAATCCATCATTTTTTTAAAATTCTATTTTCAGTACAAATGTTTTTATTCACGCAAGGAGTATTATAGTACATCAACGAGCTTGCTGCTGTCATCATAATCCAGCCTTTTAAATAAGCAGCTCGGTTTTATGGAGTGCACGTACATATCGAGCAAATGAAATAATTTGCTCTCAATAACGCGACAGATTTTTTGGGGCCATTCCAGTACCTCGTCAAGAAACGGCGACAGTTAGGGACATTTCTTCAACTCTCACTCCCAATTTTTTTTTGTTTTTCAGAACGTCGAAAAAGCGAGAGGGCGAAACTTCACTCCCATTAATCAATGAGCTCGAGATGCGGATCATTCTAAAAAACACTTAAGCCGGTACTTTTTAATGCAAATACTCGCGACGCACCCGCGAGACCTCCGCCGCCACTACGCGGAGGCGCAAGCGGTCTCGCGTGCCCGACGCGTATTAATATTCATCCATTTTTCGCTGACTCGAAAAGCCAAACCCATTTGTCACCCCCGCATCTTGATGGAATATTTAATTAAGATGGAGCCAATTAGCTACAAAACCGCGCTCACTTCCCTCCGCTATCCCTTCGCAACGGCAGGCAGCGGCAAGCCTCGGCCTTCCGCGCAAACTGCCCCCCCCCCGCCTCCTCCTCCATCCCCACTCACTCCTCCGCTGCCGACGCAAGCCCCCTCTATTTTAATTAACGAGCAAAGAATACAAAATTACATGCAGGGCCATTTTGCAAAAGGATTACGCCCCTAGCTGGGCGCCGCGCATTGTGTGTTTACCCAGGAGTTTGTCTAGGCTGGCCGTATTATCCGGTAATAGAAGCAATGCATCACACGCCGGACGACAGATTTAAGGCACGTTTGGGACAAGCTCTTTCTTCTCTCGCCTCTAATACATGCGGTTGCCAAGGCAACTCGGTGCCCCCCTCCCCACCGCCCCCCCCCTCTCTCTCAAACCCTCCCTCGGTGTGAAGGGCCCCCCCTCCTCCCTCCCTTCAGAACCATTATAGGCTTTATGGAGCACTATGTTTAGCTTCAAACAAGGCCCCGTTAAATAATTATTGAATCAAACAATCAGTTGATTATGGACATAACGGAGAAGAATGGCGGGGGCCCGCCGCTAAAGCGTATGCCACGCTGCGCCAGATTTGTTTGTTGTCGTCCGCGGACGAGGCCCGCCGAGCGAGAGTGCGGAGTCACCGCCGCCGCCGCCGCCGCCGCTATCGTCGCCACCACCGCTACCGCCACCGCAGAATCGCCGCGGCAGCCTCGCGGTCGTCTCACTAGCCACGGAGGTTTTTGGATGTGGTTGTTGTTGTGGAGAGTCTCGGCCACCCACTGGACGCGGCTAAAACTCGTATCTCCAAAGGCGTGCACCCCCCCCCCCCCCGCGCGACAATGCGCGCCTTTGTAACGCACCTCCCGACGACCCGACGGGGCCTTAGCCGCTCCAGTGGATGTCACCGCCCCGATCACTAATTTCTCGGCCATGCGAGCACAAGTGGCTTTATCTAAACCTCTCTGTCGAGAAAAGTGAGCGGGGAGGTGGGGGGAGCGCATCGGGAAGGCGCACATCGCTGGAATGGGACAATTCGAGTTTGTTTTGTATTCGTCCATCGGTTAGAATCCGAATTCCCTACGCTCGTGATACGCGCATCGAACTGTGAGCGCCGGAGTAGATTGTTGACAATTGCCGTTGCGTGTGCGTCACGGGAAGGGACGCGCACGCAACGTCGATGGTGGAGACAGAGCGAGGTGCGAGATGGATTGCCATATTGCGGGATCACGGGGTATTGTGACGGCTTGGGTAGGCCTTCCTCCAGGAGGTGATTGATACGGGATGTTGTGGGTTCGATCCCGACGTTGACGCCTGCTGTATATTTGGAGTGTGCATGTTCTCCCAGCAGTTGTGTGGATTTTTTACTCCGGGTCCTTCGGCTTTTCCCTCCAACATTCAGAATCAACATCGCGCGTTTCGAGTATTTAGCTGCTACTATAAATTTCCGCACGACGGTAAGCCACTTCGTTGAGCTATCATTTGTGACAGTCAGGTCTGCCTCTGAATAAGAGCCATGTAGCTCAGTGGGGCCTTAAAAAATAGTTATGTTAAGTTTACTTTACACAGAGAAATGGCACGAGGGGGGTGCAGGAGGTGGCTATTAGGGCACTAGAATTTGAAGTTGTTTGAGCCGGGCCGTGGTGGCTACGCTGCACGTGGCTGCCTGTAACCCAGCGCTGTGGAGACAGCAGCGAGGGTTGGTGGACCACCGCACACAAATGTTGTTGTGAAACTCCCCTTCCCGCGGTTGTCCATGAGGTGCCTGAACCTGGCTCACCAGGAGAAGGCAAGTAGAGCAAGTGGACTAATAGCTAGCCATCTGTGTCCGTCTGTACGGGGATAGAGTGTTGCCCCCTCTCGCGCAAGGCGAGGGTTGTCTCGAGGTGCTCCGGTTTCCCCCCACACAAATCATTAATTGGCTGAAAACATCGTGAAATGAAATCCCAATACAGGATCCTCCTGAAAATAAAAGTCTGAGAAATCGCTGCTGCTCTCCTGGACAAATAAGTAATAAATAAATAAATCCACTTAATTGAACTAAGTTCAAACATCTTAAGTTGTATTGACATGTGACGAACACTTTGGCAGGGCATAAAAAAATAAAGTGAATTCAAAATTAGTTCTGCGACATCAACTTCCGTGGCCATTTTCCAACGCATGGCGGCGTTACACCGCCCGTGACTTTATTTGATCGTCCGTGACTTCATTTCAATTACTGCTATGGCACTTTTAAATCACCTCGATTGAAAACTAATTTCTTTTGCTTTTTGTGTGCTTCGTTTATTGTCCTTCCCCCGTACCGCGATTAGCACGGTTGGCTACGTACGGTGTGAAAGAAGTTCAACGTACATTCATACAAAAACGCACAGAGATACAATTCAGAAGAGAAATACATGAAATACATAATGGAGAACGGTCGTGCAGTACCTGGTTGTGCTCCTTGTCTCCGCGAAGGGGGCACTCTACATGTAGTGCCACTGGCCCTCCATGCCCATGTTCATGCCCATGCCACCCATCGGCCCTGCAATGACAGCAACCACACAGGGCTTGTAACAACACATCAAAGCATCGCTTTATTAACGATCATAACAATAAAAACATTCTTAAACACTCATTAACTGCCGGAAAACATCTTAATGTTTATGGGTCTGCAGAGCTTGGGCAATTGTTGGTTGCGCCAGCTCGCCGCGTGGCTGCTGCTGCCTTCCTGCTCGTCTGTGGTTCCTCCTCCTGGCGCCTCTGAGTCGTCCCCTCTCTCTCTGAGTCGTCCCCTCTCTCTCTCTCCGAGTCGTCCTCTCTGGGTCGTCTTCTCTGGGTCGTCCTCTCTCTCTCTGAGTCGTCCTCTATCTCTGAGTCGTCTTCTCTCTCCTCCAAGTCATCCTCTCTCGCTCTCTGAGTCGTCCTTCCTCTCTCTCTCTATGAGAGCGAGCGAACGAACGAACGGCGCGTGCGACGGCGGAGTGTTGCGAGTTAGAATTTGTATTATTCTTACAATTAGTAATACATTGAATTGATTCGTACGTGTAAAAAAAATCTAATATTTGTGATTCATACAAACAGTGGGGAATTGAGAGCGCTTATATGTTCAATGGGCAATTTCAACCCTTTGTAATTTAGTTGCTTTACATCGCCTTATGTGCATGTCGAATGATTTCCAATCGCGCCGGATTTAAACAAAGAGCATAAACGTGCCCCCCCCCTCTGTAATACCTGTGATGCACACTCCCACAATGTTATGGCCAGCGTTGTGAGCTGTGGTTGTATTTCGACGGTATATAAATCCTTCTGTCGGCGATGTATCACAAACAGCGTGCTATTTCACGCATTCTGTCAGAACTTGCACAAACAATACAAACGGGGTGGTGTAAAAACGAGTCGAGAGAGGGTCAAAAGATAGATTGCATCGTGACACTGAATCGTGACAATCAATCTCGGGGTGAATTACTCACTAAAACCCGTACACAATTTGCGGTACGCCCCGGTTGACCCGTTAAAACTTGATGCCCTTTAAAACTAAACTAAACTAAAATATTATTTTTATTTGACCAGGTAAGGCTCACTGAGCTATAGAGCTCTCTTTCCGAAGTGACCTGGCCACAAATGATAGCTCAAATAAGTGGCTTATCATCATGTGGAAATTCTTTTGCAGCCAAATACTATGAACGCACGTTGATTCTAAATGTGGAGGGGAAAAAACCCGAGGACCCGGAGAAAAATCCACGTGAGCACGGGGAGAACGCGCAAACTCCAAATATACAACAGGCGTCAGGTTCGGGATCGAACCCACGACCTCCTGTATGCCAGGTGAGGTAGTTAACATCTCCTAGCCACTGCGGTGCCCGATGTCAAACAGGTACACAGCAGAGGAATAAACAAATGGATGGACGAACGAGTGGACGAACGAGTGAACGAACGAGTGAACGAACGAGTGGACGGACGGGTGGACAGGAGGGATTGCCGCAGCCCTCTGGCTGGTGTGTTTGGAGTGCCATGCCGACGTGCCGGGGGTGAGCTGTGCCACTCGTTACCGGGAGGACGCAGGCCCATGTGCTGCTGGCCGTCCATCACGAAGCCTCCCAGGTGCTGCCCGTCAGGGCTGTACCCGGCTCCCTGGCTCACTGCACAGCCGGCACCGCACCACACACACACATCGTTAGAGCGAACTTATTTAAATAGTAACAAATATACAAAAGCGTGTTTATATATTTTCATCCAGTCATATCCCAATTGTGCCATCGCTGCCATGTTACGAGATGAACTAGCCGTTCGGATTTCTCGCAGACCAGTGTGAGTGAATCTGGCCACAGAAGTGGCCGTCACAGAGCTACCTTCGAGATCCATTCAAGCACGCATTTGGGTCCACACAGTTTAGAGGGGGCGGCGCTTTTCTATCGTAGCACGACAATCAGAGCTGGAATTCAGCCAAATTAAATGCAGAACCACATTTAATATTGCGGTGCCGAGCTGAGACCATCAACTCGCTACAACACGAGGACCCCGTTATAATTAACACAGCCACTAAGGGCTTCCCTCCTGCAATCCGCACCCAGGGTAGGGGTCTCAGCGGTGCCAGCTCGGCGCTCTGACCTCCACCTTCCTGAACCCGCACTTGTTTGTAAAGGATGCAGAGAGTGATCATATTATTGTTGTTATTATCACCTGGAGCGTGCGGACGCAATGCGTGCGTTACACCTATCTCTGCGCGTGCGGCCGCTCGTCTCCCAAGTGACTCGGCCAACCGTCATCTGGGTCTTTACAATGCTGGGCAGCGGCCAAGAAATAATCCTCTAACCCCTATTTCGGATTCGCGCGGTGTAATTAGGTGCTTATTCTTTGCCCCGATCGCGTTTAAGAGCCTTTCATAATTGCCGTCTCGTGCCCCGAACATCTTTATGCGTGAGTGCGTTACTAAAGGTATAGTTCCACGGGAGGCGGTCAAAATGTTTCGTAGAATAGGATGAGAGGAAAAAGATAGAAGCGGAGCCTTGATGGAAACCAAACGGCAACGACGTCCCGTTACTGTTAATTAACTTTAAGCGCTTAGGTTTTACGGCGTGACTATATAAGATCGTTAAGAATTTTAAGGGGGGGCTTACGCAGGGTCCGTGGATAATTTTAATATCACTCTCAAGCCACTTTGACCACATTCCGTACGTCTAATTTTATTGCGTCACAAAGGGAAGCCGTGCGTGTGTGCGCGTGAATGTACCGCAGGGGTAGTCGGTGTGACTGACCATGCCAATTCCACCCTGAACTCGCTTCCAAACTCAGAATGTTTTTCGTGATGCTGCTGCCCGTTGGCAGTGGCGCACGAGCACACGTAAGGAAAACTCAACACGTTCCTCGATAAACTAAACGATGAACTATTTTGTTAATTTTTTTAGCATGTAAGGCCCACTGAAGTGGCTTATCGCGTGGAAATGTATTGCAGCCAAATACTCTATAAAAGCGTGCTTCTCAATGTGGAGGGGAAAAAACCGCAGGACCCGGAGATAAATCCACGCGACCACGGGGACACAGAGAACCCCAATACTGCGGCCCGAAAAAGAAACATTTATAATAGGGGGATGGCTCTTCAATCTTTCATAGCCACAGAGATCGAGTGAATAACAGTTAGACAAAGCACTACCTACATAGACCACATACACCGCGTGGCCCTGACAGCAGGTTTCTTACAGAATGTTTCCAGCCGACGTTATAAATCGGCGATATGAACGGTTACTCGTGAGCAAACGTTGAAGTAAAAAAAGACAAATCCTTCCCGAGTATAAAATGCAAGCATGTGTGCATATTTTGACATTTGTCACTGGCCGTTGGACATTTTTGGGCTCTTGGTGCCTCCGTGTGTGCCTCAGCAAGGTGCGGTAAAAATCAACAAACCTCAACAATCCTCAATTGCACTGCGAACGTAGCAAGTATTCTTTGTTGCTCACGTGTTTTATTTTTAATGCATTGCGTGTGTTTTCGTACAGATGTAGATACTCGGCAACCCGAATATGTGTTTTGCGTGCGGACGAAAAAAAATATCCATCGGAGAGGCTCGTGGATTTAGAGCGTAATTAGCGACGAGGCCCGCTTAGCGTTAGCCCCGCCACTTTGCTCGGCGTCTGATTATTATTTTCAGATGTGCGGCGCGATTAGTGCTAATGTTCGACACTTGCCTGCTCGGTTGGACTGATCAATCATGGGCTGCACTATTCGGCGTCTTGCGTTAATAAACCTGCAAACGGAGAAGGCGGGCCGCGGGGGACCAGGGGGGAGGGGCAGGGGAGAGAGAACGAAAAAGAATTTTAAACACTGCCCATTAACTGGCCCTTCATAATGGGACCTCGCATACTTTTGTTCCTTCCCGATGTCTGCGAGACACAACACCAACAGAACTGACAGCACAAGATAAATGACCACCGGGGTCAAAATGTCAGCGAATGACATCATCGCCGTGTCGGCTAATGGGAAGGGACTCGGTGGTTTGGGTGGAGGGGGGAGTGTGCAGGGGAGTGGTTGTGTGGGTGGGTGTGTGGGTGGGGGGTGGTGGTGCTCATGAACATGTGCGTCGGAGTTTACGCGGCGGTGGTGGCGGTGATCGCGGTGTGGCGGCTGTACGGCGACGCTTTTTAAAAACAAGTCACAGGCGAGAAGGCCACTCACGACGGCGATGTCGTCGTCGTGAGTGGCTTGGGCCAGGAGCTGTCATTGAGCCGGGAGCAGAGTTCACAAGTTTCGCCTTTCAGTCGCCATTGTTATGTCAGCAGACTCATCAATTAGCCTGTCCCCGAGACTTTATCACCGCGGGCACCCCCCCACCTCCCACCTCTCTCTGGCCTGGAAGAAAAGGAGTCTGCTTTTTTTTACTGCCGCCCATAAAAGCCTGGGGTCATTGCGAGGTCGCGCCAGGTTTACTGTAACCTTTAACTTTCTCATTTTGGCAGCGGGTTTTGAAATATACAGCCAGCGGACATCTTTTGAAAGCAATGCTGGAAATTATTCCCTCGCATTCCACGGAGTGTGTGCGACCGACGCTCGGGTTGGATTATTTTTTTGTGTGTTCCTCGTCGTCATAAAAATTGAAGTCGCGATTTACGGCGAGCTAACGCCGCCCGCTCGCGCCGCAGCCGCGTCGCAGGTGGAGAAAGGCGCAGCCCCTGAAATGGCTCGCTCACGGAGCCCTGCTGGTGGCAAGGGGTCTCTCCACTCGAGGGGGGCCTCTATCGATGCTATTTTAGACTGCGACGCCTTCCGCACGGGCCAGACGCCTTGCAAGAGGCGAGAGGAACCCACACTTTACCCCATCACACGCGGCTCGCCAGTCTACGAACTGCGGTGAACCCGGTAACACTGCTGAGCGGACGAAGGCGGTGGTGGTGGGGATTCAAGAAGCTTTGCGCCATTGTTTCGACTGCTACATCGGAGGGGGGTGAAATCGAATCGGTAACCTCTGGCTTCCAAGCCCAGAACGCCGTTGACGATTACTCCTACTGTGGCAGTAATCCGAGTGGCTGAGCCGTAGCTCAAACGCACATTCGCTTTGACACGTTACAATAAACGGAATAATTACAATTAATGTTATCACGCAAACAAACACAAAAAATTCCCGACTGTCCGGAACGGTGGCCGACTTGGTTTTTAACGAGTCGAAGCCAACTCCGCTTTAACTCAACGTGATTACGAGTGGACGGCAATGCCAGGCACTGTTTTTGTCACGCGCAATCAAAGCCAAAAAACAAACTTGAGATGTCGCACGCCGATTGCCGCAAACGGGGCGTTCTCGCTTAAACGTTCCATTCAGCAAGCGAACGGATCACGCGTGCACCCACACAGGCCTCGCCGGATGAGACAGCACCATGACGGGACGGGGAGCAGGGGGGGGGGGGGTGTTCGCGTATCGTGAAAACCGATCACCCCTCCCGCCCCCTCCCCTCCCGCCTTCCCCGCAGCGTTCCCCGTGCGCTACGCGGCACCAACAGGACGACCACAGCCGCCGCGACATCGTCGGACAAAGAAAACAAAAAAATAATAAATCGGCCCCCGCTCTGAACAAACGGCACAGCGCTGCAGATACTTATACACAAAGTGGGTTTCCACAGTCCGAGGTGACGTTGCTACCACCCCCTCCCGCATCCCTCCACCCTCTAACCGCTTCCACCCCCACGCAGGTATCCAGTTTGCAACGTGCTAAAGAGACGGCTCTGTCGCGTTGCTTTCTCACCTGGCGCGAAAGGAAAGCAACCCACGGATTTACTCTGACGGTCTCGAGACCGCAAAGTACATAATTGGCAGGATTTATTAATGCCGAGGCGAACATTAACATTTGGGAACGGGGGGGGGGGGGGGAGATGGAAGTCGTGTATTCAGTTACACTTACACAGTTTCTTTTTATAAGCATTATAAAAACAACAAACATAATGAAGTGCTTTATTAAATAACGCATGAGAAAATTTGTCCAGGATTTGATCCCCTTGGCTTCACTTTCTACATCCGACATTCACGCCTTTGGCTCGAGTTCCGCGAGGGGGAGGAGGCCACAACATCCAGCGGACGGACAAAGGCCGCTGTACACGTACAAGCCAGGAGGTTGTTGGGTCCAAAGCTTTAGTCACCGCTAACAACTTTACAGCACTCAACCGTCGCAGTATCCAAAACGCCACCAATGAACGAAGCGAGGCATCGATCGACCCCCAAACCTCCACCAAACCACCACAATCAAAAAAACCATCACCAAACCATCACCACCAAGGCGAGGGTTCTCCTCCACCACCTTTGCCCCCTTCCTCCCAGACCTCAGCTCCTCACGTCAACCGTTTCCGACGACCCTGGGACGGCCCAGGCCATGGTGGTGATGAGGATGGGGAAAAAGAAGACGACCGAGTGCCCGCCACCATCAACCACGCAATGTTTTCCCATCTGACCCCTGTCAATGGCCACGCTCCCTCGCGGATTAAGCCGGTGCCGATTGGGCGTATTATTATTAGTAGTTTGCAGACACGGCCCTGTCCCGCGCTCGCATCTTCTAACTGTTGTCGTCTGGACGCCAGTGTTTGTCCCATCATCATCATCGTCGCCATCGTCAGCAGCAGCGCTCATGTGACAGCCACCGTTCGTCCGCTTCGGCCAACAGCAAAAGCCTCGTCTCCCTCCCGACATCGCCCGGCCGGCGGGTTAACGTCCTGTGTGGGGGCGGCCAGGGGGGTCACGCTGGGGTTGACCATGGGGCATTTTGGGGTTGGCGGGGTGGTGAAGGGGGGGGTCACACGGCGATGGGGGGTCGTGGTCGAGTTATAGCCCGCGCAACGTAAACAGCTGTAAAGCTGCTGCTTGGCATGCGGGTGGCACTGCTTCTTGGAATGGGGGATTAGGCGCGGCGTGACAGATACACTTCTGTGTTCTAAATTCCTACCTTGGAGTGATTTCTAAAAGTAGCGCCCCGGCCAAAGCCACCCTTCCCCCCGCCCCCAGAGAAGGCAGCTGAATATGCGCGCGTCAACCGATACCGTAAGAGATATGGGCGCGCGCATCTACGCGGGAATACGTCCACCGTCTTCGCAGATATCTCGTATTTTGATAAGTGCTGTCAGCACAGTTTTCTTCCCCGAGTGAGTTTAACTCGACGGAGCGTCCGTGAGCCTTTTACTTTTCATCTGGCGCGGAGCCGCCACCGTTTATCAATCGGCTTCCGTCGGGAGCGCTCACTTCGCGACGGGACTTGTGTTTTTTTTGTTTTGTTTTACGAGACGCTTCGGGTAAGTTTCCCACGCATTTTTGAATCCATTTACCCCTGAGCGCTTGTTATAATTATACAAATAATCAGCGGGCCCGGCGGTTCTAATGGAGCAGGTGTTTGGAATCTGGCGATGAGGGCTTTTGTAAACTCAGATTACAGCAACAACCAAAAAAAAAACCCAAAACGCCGTTGCAACCACCACTGCACAGCACGCACGCGGACCCCAACCCGGAGCGAGCGCTTTCGATAGCGGAACATTTTAAGCGCGGAGCTGTGGGAGGTTCATGCAACACACCGACGCTGTCGGACAATACGACCCACAACCATTCTCGGGATCCTTTAGCGCGTTGACAAAATGCTACAATACAGCTCGAACGTTCGGATTACTACGGAAGCCCCGATTCTTTGTCTCCCACGTGCTAATCTAATCATCGTTACCGACGTTCGGAGCGAGCGGCCGCAACGACGAGATGAATGAAGGGCACGGAAACGTTTGACTGGGCCCCCCACCCCGTACCCAACCACCCACCCCAGAAGGGGGGGTTGGTTAATGCACGGAGGTGAGATGACCCCGAATCTCTATCACATGACGTCTCATGTGGCGAAGCGTTCCGTTCTTTTACATTTGCTTTGCCGCGTTTATCTTTGCGAGATTAGGCGTTGTGATTAATGGCCTCGATTTTGTTTTGTTTGCGCCCAAAGACAAATATTACACGCTTGACTTAAAATAAATATTCCATCACTATAATCAGCGTTCCAGATAACGTTGGCGGTGGTCTTTGAGCCGTTTATACGACTCCGCGTTTTCATTGTACTTGCGCTCGGGATAAAAGTAAAGTCGTGAGGAATTTAGAATAAACATTGCACAATCTCTGATGCTAACGTAGTGGGGGGGGGGGGGGGTAATGCGTTATTTGCTCGTGCATTATATTTTAACAGCAATGCTACTTTCAACTACTCGACATAAAACGTAGAACACACAATAAAAAAGAAAAAAAAAGATGCCAGCGAACAGAAGAACAGATCAAATAACCCAAGAGGTTTTCTCTACGAGACTCTTTAGAAAAAATGTTTTATTCCAAAATAAACTAAAATCACAAGCCGTGGTGTCGTGGTTACCAATGACTGAACGCTCTCTCAAGGGCCACAAATGATCACGTGACCACTCCTTGATCACGTTCGCACCACTTTCTCGTCATGCAAAGTCCAACTGTGGAAAACTTGGCAATGTATTATCATTATTATGTACATAATCTATACGTCGTACTAATTTGTAATTGTGTAGAAAGCTCAGTATGCAGCATCATGAGGAGCGGGGGCTATCAATAATTAACGTAATGACAATACAATATTCATTTGCAGCCTATTCCTAGTAAATATGGAGCATTGGGGCAACATTGAGCACCCCATATTATCAGGATTGGCAATGTACGGTCCGAAAGAAGTTCAACATCCGAATCAGAATATTAATGAATTTCAGAATCAAAATATTTATATTGGAA